TGCTCCAGGATAAGGGACATGTTTGTGACAAGTGCCAATTCTTGCTTGAGCTGGTGTTCCTCCTCACTGTAGATCATCCTGCCCTGGTCCCGGAATGTTTCTATTATTGCTAGTCGTAGTTCCTGCCAGATCACTTCAACCCGGCCCTGTATCTTTCGCCTGTTCTCCAGGACCAGGTTCACATGTCCCCTGTCTGGCTGCAAGCCCAGCTTCCTCCACATACTGGTGAACTCATCCTCCTCTTCAACATCATCCTCCAGGCCAGGAACCTCTACAGTAACAGCTACGTCATCCCCCTGCGGGGACTTCCTCCCCTCTGTCTCTCCTTCATCCAGTTCATTCTCCCCATCATCCACCTCACCTTCCCCTTCATCTCTGGAGCTCTCAGCTACTTCTGGAGCAGAGAGGGCGGGAATACCTGCTTCTAAATCCTCAGGTTCGTCGTCTGAGGATAAAACAGTGATTATCTCTATATGGATGCATTTATTATCTCAGTGGAACTATCAGAGATAAACAGTGCCTCTAACTCTAATCCATAGTCACTGTCTCCTTCCGTTATATCGTCTGGGAGAGATCCAGCAACATTTGGGCAGTGATCGACGTACTTAAAGAATCCAGACATCTTTACTTATAATAAAGCTTTAACAACTTTTATGGTATTTTAGTTACTTAGCTATTAATATAATTAGGAACTATCTAAGATTGGTTATATGTATATATATAACTCTACTAAGCTATTGGTCTTGCTTAGCGTTACAGAGCTGGCTTATTTAGCTTTGCGGAGCTATTAACTTTGCGGAGCTATTAACTTGTGGAGCTATTGACTCGCGGAGCTATTAACTTTGCAGAGCTCTTAACTTGCGGAGCTATTAACTTTGCGAAGCTATGTATTGGGTCTAGCTATACAGAATTATATATCCTTGCTTGTCTATGCTAAGATAGATATCTATAACTAGCTATTCAGAGTTGAATATATTTATCAGGCTATATTATGTTAATAGTCTGAGTTATGAATCGGTATAAGTTGGGAGCTATCACTTGACCTAAGGTAGAAGATTATATTAATATTATAAGTCTTTCTACTAGTAAGGTTCTTTGTGCACTGGGCTTTATTACTTTATTCTTTATGTTGATAGCGGCGAGGTATCATATCAATGTTCATATGCAAAGATATCCGATATGTAGGGTTAGGCATGGTTATAAGACTATTTCTGGCCCGAGCGCTGCGGCTAGGACAGGCTAGGGGGCCAAGCGCTTCGGCCTTATTATAAAAAATAATACCATGATAACCGATATGTGGGGCTATGTTAGATAGGTTAAGACGATTTCTGGGCCGAGCGCTGCGGTTAGGACAGGCCGAGCACTGCGGTCATATTTAATATACTTAAAAGTGCAGTGGTCCGCAGAAAAAAAGGAGATAGACAGATGTAGTTTTAAGTTACCTTTAATTTGAATAGAACATATTCGATGCACAATGGTACCCTATATTTAAGAAAAATATCTTGTAAAGAAATAAATGCTTGCAAAATCCTTTTTTATATTTTACGAATCCGAAACTGAACATCATTATTTCTTTAGAAATAAAACATTGATAAATCCATCATTTTCGCTTAGGCTCATGCTTCAAGTTCAAGGTTACCTCCTATCGGCCATAGAACTCTTTTAATAGAGGGTTGCACTTGTGAACACGAAGATGGTGAGAGGAAGAGGGAGGACAGGGGTCTATAAACCGAACCACGGAGGGGGATAAAATAGGACCAGGGGGATAAAGGGATNGATTCAGGGGGTAAAGGGATGCAGGGGGATAAAGGGATAAAATGATAAAAGGGGATTGTACACACGTTGAACTAGGAAGAAGGAGATGGTGAAATCTGTGCCACCTTACTGCTACGACTTTGTGACATCGTAGTGCCTCTGGGTTTGAATTTACGCACAAGTATGAGAAATCCAAATTCACCCGCGAACCCTGTTAATTTGAAAACATTTTTTTCTTTTTAGCTCTTCAATAAAAGAAGTTGTGATTAAAAACATATAATATTTTAATCTTCCTTTACTTTAGTTTGGTGTGTAAGGTAATAAATAACCTCTGTATAAAAAGTTGAGTGAAAGTAAGTATAAGAAATTAGGAAACCTTCTCGTTGTAATGGAACTTGAACTAATGGATACTAGGATTAAACATCTTAAACTAATGGATGCTAGGATTAAACATCTAGAACTAATGGATACTAGGATTAAACATCTTAAACTAATGGATGCTAGAATTAAACATCTAAAACTAATGGATACTAGGATTAAACATCTTGAACTGATGGAGGCTAGGATTAACATCTTGAACTAATGGAAGCTAGGATTAAAATCTTGAACGAATGGATGCAAGGATTAACAATCTTGAACTAATGGAGCCAAGGATTAAACATATAAAACTAATGGAAGCTGGGATTAAACATCTTGAACTAATGAATCCTAGGATTAAACATCTTGAACTAATGGATGCTAGGATTAAACATCTTGAACTAATGTATGCTAGGATGAAAATCTTGAACAAATGGATGCTGGGATTTTAACATCTTGAACTAATGGATGATAGGATTAACAATCTTGAACTAACGGAGGCTAGAATTAAACATCTTGAACTAATGGATGCTAGGATTAAACATCTTGAAATAATGAATGCTGGGATTAAACATCTAAAACTAATGGAAGCTAGGATTAAATATCTTGAACTAATGGATGCTGGGATTAAACATCTTGAACTAATGGATGCTAGGATTAAACATCTAAAACTAATTGAAGCTAGGATTAAATATCTTGAACTAATGGATACTAAGATTAAATATCTTGAACTAATGGATGCTAGGATTAAACATCTTGAACGTATAGATACTAGAATTAAACATCTAAAACTAATGGAAGCTAGGATTAAACTTCTTGAACGAATGGATGCTAGGATTAAACATCTTGAACTAATGGATGCTAGGATTAAACATCTGGAACTAATGGAGGCTAGGATTAAATATCGTGAAGTAATGGATGCTAAGATTAAACATCTTGAACTAATGGATATTAGGATTAAACATCTTTAACTAATGGATGCTAGGATTAAACATCTTGAACTGATGGATGCTGGGATTAAACATCTTGAACTGATGGATGCTAGGATTGAAAATTTGTTTTTCATAAAAAAGGTTACACTGATACCAGTTAATATGGGATTATTTTTTTATTGTTAGTTGCAAATATAATTATACATCAATATTACATATTATTATATGAGAACTAGTTTCTGAGTTGGCACATCACGTCCATTTTGTCTAGCAATAATAGTTTTGAAGTTAACAATTTACTTTCCATGCAAACCGTTTTACTTCATATTTGGCACATTCCTGTTTTTAAGTCTGGCTGTCTGCATCCAAAACTGCTGATCCAATTAGGCCCATATTTTTTTGCGGCAACTCACATGACCCCATAGGGAAGGTTTAAGGACTCTCAAAGATGAAACATTATGTTCGAAAAATATTTCAACACTTATTATTTTTGAGACATGCGCCAATTTTTTGAGAAAGGGACAAACAAATTTCGTCAAAAAAATTCGGCGAACTTCGATGCATTTTCGTTAAAATTTCAACCCAATTTCGCCTGAAGAAAAACGTGATTTCTGACGGAGTGTTTGGTGACACCCCCCCCCCCCCAAGCAAGCCTACAAAATGTATAAAAATTTTGTATTGTTCGGATTTGAGGCATAAAAAAAATAAAATGTGATAAAAAATTCTAAAATGTTCATGGAACACTAAAAAAAATTCATCAATAATTGAATGAGATATAACAAAATATCTGCAAAAGTTTTAAGTGGATATCTTCAGTAAATGTTATCAAATTATAACCAATTAGAACTGTTATGACTTCGAAAATGCAATTAATTGGCTTAGATTTTTTGTTATATCTCATTCAATTTTGATAAATTTGAATGAAATTATGAAAAAAAATAAAATAAACATTTTATCAAAATTTTTTTTTAATTTTACTTTTTCCAAAAATATTTGATATGCAGACGAATACTGTTCTTCGAGTACTAGGTGTTCAACTGAAAAATATTCTTCTGAGCAGTTTATGTGAATTATTCTGCAACGACTGTTGTGGGTAAGGGATATGTTATTATTGGCATATTGAGTAGTTAAACCAACTTAACGAGCACATTTCATTTTCTTCCAAAATATATGTACATTTTAACGCACATTATAAATCTCTTATAGTAACCTGTAAAGAAAAAATTTCGTCAAAGTAAGTTGAAACTTCGCGAAAAAGGTTTGTAAAAAGATTTTCAGAAAAGTTGGGAATTAGGAAAAGAACGAAAATTTTTGTTTTCGTTTCCTTTTTTGTTGTCTTCACAAAATTAAATTTGGAAACCCTATTTTTACTATATTTACTAAAAACAATGAATCTAAAAAGTCAAATAAACATGAGACACAACAATTTTTTGTAGCCTGACGCGATCCATTTCATGCCCTTATTAAATGATTTAACAAATTACTAACATAGCTTTTTTCTTTTAACACCATCAAATGCATTATTACCTTAGTGTCGTCTTCCTTTTTCACAGTTTTGATCCATAAATCTTAATCAAACCTGAGCTGAAAACTTCAGAATCGAGATCAATGCTTGATCTCCTCTTTTTCTAAATCTCCAGATTAAATATTGCTTGTTCTCCTCTTTTTTTTAATCTCCAGATTAATTTTCCGATCTGGATTAAGGATATTTCATTCTAGTTTTAAGCTCAGCATCTTTATTTGTTATGAAATTTTGTTAATTTGAACTTTTATTTCGATATCCAAATATCGAAATATGATAATCAATGCGTGATCACTAATTCTTAAGTTATCCCTGCAGGGTATGACCACCATGGGATATCGAAGAGAAATTAAATTAATCCATTGATTTGCATAAGATGGTTGATCTCGAGATTTCTGACTTCAGATGATTGAAAAATTTTAATTTAGAAAAAATTAGGATTAAAAATATTGATTTATTAACTAAAATAATCCTACGATAAGCCGAAGGATTACAAGGATTACAATATCACAGACATGTGGATTAGAACAGGAGAGTTGGGAGTACAGGATTCCAGGCGAGATTTGGATAGATATACTCCGGTACATAATCATCTACACATGTACATATTAACCTCGGTACATAATCATTTAAACATATACACAAATACTCCAGTACATAATCATCTAAACATGTACATATATACTCCACTTCTCAATCATCTAAACATGTACATATATAATACAGTACATAATCATCTAAACATATACACATATACTCCAGTACATAATCATCTAAACATGTACATATATACAACAGTACATAATCATCTAAAAATGTACATATATACTACAGTCCATAATCATCTATTCGGTACATAATCATCTAAACATGTACACATATACTCCAATGCATAATCATCTAAACATGTACAATGTACATTTTCTCCGGTACATGCAATCATCTAAACATGTGTAATGTACATATATATATTATAAACTCCAGTACATAATCACTTAAGCATGTACATAATTATCTAAATATGTACATAATTGTCTAAACATGTAAATAATCATTTAAGATGTACATAATTATCTAAAAACATGTACATAATTATGTAAAGGGGTGCTTCTCTACAACTGATATTTTTGATTTGCTTAAACTTCATTGAAAAATGCGCAAAACTGGGTTAAAAAATTCGGGAAATTATCCAGTCAAAAGGGACATTTTATATTCTGGTTGAAAAAAATGGCTCCAGTCAGAATTTATCAGTCGAATAGCTCTTTTACTGAAGAGGAGAAAATCTGGATTTTCCTGGAATATGGAAAACTTCGCAATGAGCTTCAGATTTGCCAAGATGGAAGAGTTTGCTGAAGAGCTTATCATAATTGTGGAAGAGTTTGCTGAAGAGTTTAGCATAATTATGGAAGAGTTTGCTGAAGAGTTTAGCATAATTTTGGAAGAGTTTGCTGAAGAGCTTATCATAATTGTGGAAGAGTTTGATGAAGAGTTTAACATAATTGTGGAAGAGTTTGCTGTTTCCCTGCAGCAGCCAGCAGAAATCAGTAAGTGTGTCAGCCACATTAGAGATCGCACCAAAGACTGTATATCTCTAAAGGGAGTCTGTTTCGAGTCACTGCTAAACCTACTTAGAAAAGTTCATATGAATGGCGATTTTGCTTAAAATGTAAATTTCCCAATCTAGTTTAAATAATAATATATTTATTGCAAGCTTATCAGCTCGGTTTAATTGAAATATAAGCAAATCAAAAATATTTAAGATTTTCTATATTATGATATCATCTAAATGTCAGTTGAATAACACATGGAACTTATGTTAACCTGATCGCCATGTACTTCAGGAAGCGTAGCTGAGCAAGTGAGCACAATTGTTCCATCCTTTCCTAGCTTTGGGTCAATCTCGAGATTGAAACCAAGCGTTGAAATCTCTAACCCTGTCTCGGTCGTCTAAATATTCGGAAGACTCAATGCATTTAAAATTACACTTAGAAAAATTAGTCTTCGCTAAAATTTGAATCAAAACAAATTTAACTTCTAAATTTGATAGATTGAGTTTTCTTGCTTTTTAAGGAAAACAAATGATTAAGATTTTGAGGTTGAACATGAATTTTCCAGGCTTGCTTCTGCGCCATTTTGTTTTACCTTTCGAAGATACTTAGTAACCAAGGATTCCTGCGCCTGCGCATCTCCAATATACCATGTGAGATCAGCTGCTGGATAGCTCGGGGAACTTGTGCAGTTCAAGGATAGAAGAAATCCAGGTTCATATGCTTCACTCGATAATCCTTTTAACAATTAGATTTATAAACTTAGCTTAACAAATTCTTTTCAATTTAAGTCTTAACTGAAACATATATCATGAACTGTAAAATGTAAGACGTAGCCAACTACACTAATTTGAACCAATTCTCGCCTGTTAAAGTTCAATAGAAGTTGTTCAAATATGACTTCGTAGTTCAACTACTTCATGCTTTTTGATAAATCCGACCACTGGTCACCTTTGACTATAGGATAATGGTCTAGAAGTATAATTACCTTTGATACTAGGATATTGATCTGGAAGTATAATCACCTTTGACATTAGGATAATGGTCTGGAAGTATAATTACCTTTGATACTAGGATATTGGTCTGGAAGTATNACAAGTATCTGATCGCTAACGCGAGCAGTGCCGAGTCCAAGGTTTTCTACCTCAAGATGAAGGGGGATTATTTCAGGTCGGCTTTTCATCCGTTTTTAACCCTTGAGTTCTCAATCTTTGTTAAGCGTTCCACGTTCCCTTAACCCCTCGAAAAAGGCCTTTTATTGACAATACTTAGTTTCCATGCATGTTTCCAGAAGATTCTTTGAACTGAAAGGGAGGAGAATCTTCTGTCACCTAAAATTTCAAAAAATATTTGTTTTTTCACAAAATGGTGAATATTCTGAATCTCTTTTTTTTCTAACAATACATTTTTCGGAATGTTAATATTCAACTAAATAAGAAGTAAAATAATAAAAGAAATTAAATGCTAAAGTATCTGCTTTTCCTGAACAATTCGAAGTTTCTTATTTCCTGTAGATTTAAGTGCTCTTGCACACAGAATTAGACTGATCCATTTAATCTTTATTGGCACTAACTGCAGATTTAGAATAATTCAATTTAAAGGGTAAAAATGAATGCGTGACGGGATCGACCTGTTAAGCGGTGGAATAAGAAGACGACATTAAATCACTACTATGTATATTTGATGTCGTTTCATATCAAATACCGGGTTACCCAAAAAGGATGAGACTTTAGACACGACTGTAATGAATTTATACTCTGTCTGTTTCTCTATATTCATGATTCATTGCAACTGTAGACGCGTTTCTTTCTTTGAAAATCATTAACCCTATTCCTGCTGGGGGGGG